AATCAAACACCTTGAGTCTAAATAGCATTCTATTAAATAATGACTGGGTTACCAGAGAGATCAAAGAAGAAATAAAAACATCATGGCAACAAATGACAATAAAAACACATTCACAATCTATGGGAAATAGTGTCAACAGTCTTTAGAGGAAAGTTCATAGCTCTACATGCCTACCTCAAAAAATAAGAAACAATGGTAATAAATTATCCAACTCTACAACTCAAAGAGTTAGAAAGAGAGCAACAAAGAAAGCCCAGTGTAAGCAGAAGAAATGAAATAATAAAGATCAGGGAGGATATAAATGACATAAATGAATAATAAAGATCAGGGTGGAGACAAAAAAAAAAATACAAAAGATCAACAAAACCAAGAACTGGTTCTTTGAAAGTATAAACAAGATTTATGAACCTCCATCCATGCTCACCAAGAAGCAAAGAGAGAGGACCCAAATAAGCAAAATCAGAAATGAAAGAGGTGAAGTAACAACCGATCTCACAGAAATACAAATGATTTTTTAAAAAATACTATGAACAACTCTATTCAAATAAAATGGACAACCTAGATAAAATGGATATATTCTTATAAAAACACAAGCTCCCAAAACTCAACCAAGACGAATAAAAAAAACCTGAATATGCCAATAACTACCAAAGCTATTGAAACAGAGATTAAAAAAAAAAAAAATCTTCTAGCAAACAGAAGCCCTGGTTTAGACAGCTTTATACGGGAGTTCTACCAAGTATTTAAAGGATAACTAAACCTATCCTCCTCAGACTATTCAAAAAAATTGAAGAAGAAGACACACTTTCAAGCTCTTTGTATGAAGCCAGCATTACCCTAATCCCAAAACCAGGTAAAGACATCACAAAAGAAAGAGAACTACAGGTCAATATCCTTGATGAAAATAGATGTTAAAATCCTCAACAAAATTCTAGCAAATCAGATTTAGAAATACATTAGAAAGATCATACATCATGATCGAGTGGGATTTATTCTGGGGATGTAAGGATGGTACAATATCCACAAATCAATAAATGTGATACATCACATAAACAAATTGAAAGACAAAAATCACATAACCATATCAATTGATGTAAGAAAAAGCATTTGACAAAATCCAACACCCTTTCTTGATTAAAAAAACAACAACAACAAAAAAAAACTTCTCAGCAAAGTGGGAATAAAGGGATCATACCTCAACATAATAAAGGCCCTATATGACAAACCTACAGCAAACATCACACTCAGTGGGTAAAAACTAAACTCATTTCCCCTAAGAACAGGAAGAAGACAAGGATGTCCACTTTCACCACTCCTGTTCAACATAGTGGGACCAGGCAAAGTAATCAGACAAGAAGAAATAAAAGGCATCCAAATTGGAAAAGAAGTAAAACTGACCTTATTCACAGATGACATGATACTATACATAGAAAACTTCAAAGAATCCATCAAAAAACTACTAGACTTAATAAATTAATTTGGCAATGTAGCAGGATACAATATTATCACTCAGAAATTATGGCCTTTTTATACACCAATAATTGAAATCACAGAAAGAGAAATGAAAAAAAAATCCCATTTATCATTGAACCAAAAAAAATTAAGATACCTAAAAATAAACTTAACTAAGGACATAAAAGACCTGTACTCAGAAAACTATAGGACATTGAAATAAGAGATAGAGGAAAACAAATAAATGGGAAAACACACCATGTTCATGAATTGGTAGATTCAACATCATTAAAAAGTTCATACTACCTGAAGCAATCTACAGATTCCATGCAATACCTATTAAAATACCAATGGCATATTTTAAAGACCGAGATCAAACTCTCCAAAAATTCATCTGAAATAAAAAAAAAAGACCCTGAATAGCCACAGCTATCCTGAGAAACAAGAACAATGTCGGAGGGTTCAAACTACCAGACATCAAGCTATATTACTAAGCCACAGTTCTCAAAACAGCTTGGTACTGGCACAAGAATAGACATACAGATCAATGGAACAGAATAGAGAACCCAAAAATTGACCCAAGCCATTATACTCAATTAATATTTTAAAAAGGAGGTAAGTGTATACAATGAAGTCAAAACAGTCTCTTTAATAAATGGTGCTGGGAAATTTGGTCAGATACATGCAAAAATAAATAAATAAATAAATAAATAAATTTTTAAAAAAAAACTATCAGTCTAGTAATAATTAATGTCGTTTCTAAACATTCGTTTAAAATCTTGCTTGGCGTTGACTTGTATTGACATAACCTTCAAACACGTGGTATCTACAGAACGTGTGAAGTGCAATTAACAAGTTTTGCTTGAAAAAGTTTGTGTTTGGTTTGGTTTTTGTTGCAAAACTAGGGCTAAGAAGATGGCGGATGAAGAGCATATTCGGCACTGCATGCTTTACAAGTTCCAATTAGGAAGAAAAGCAAGTGAGGCTGCAAAAAACATCTGTAGTGCTCTTGGTCAAGATGCAGTTAGTGCCAGAAAATGCCAGCGTTGGTTTGAGAAATTTCGTGAGGGAAATTTTTCGTTAGATGACAAGAGTGGTCGAGGCCATGTGTCCAATTTTGATCAAGAAGCTCTTCAAGCTCTTTTGGTGCAAAATCCTCAAATTACCCAACAAGAGCTTGCGGCAACTTTAAATTGTTCACAGAAAACAATTTCCAATCAGTTGCGTGCACTTGGCAAAGTCCAAAAGTTTGGAAAATGGGTTCCTCATGAGTTGACCGACAACAACCTTAATCAAAGAGTCACAATTTGCAGTTCGCTCCTCTCTCGTCAAAACCGTTTGCCGTTTTTAGAGCAAATTGTTACCGGAGATGAACAATGGGTGCTGTATGTTAATTTGAAAAGGCGGCCTCAATGGTTGGACAAAAATGAGGCTCCTCAGCCCACGCCAAAACCTGACTTGCATGCGAAAAAAGTGATGTTGTATGTTTGGTGGAATTTTAAAGGAATTCTTCATTATGAACTTTTACCATCTAACCAAACCATTACAAGTGCAGTGTATAGTGCCCAATTGGAAAGGCTAGCCCAAGCTTTAAGAGAAAAAGAACCCGCGCTGATTAATCGGAAGGGTGTAATTCTTCACCACGATAACGCACGACCGCATACTGCAAGAATCACTGCTGAAAAATTGCACCAGTTGGAATGGGAAGTTCTCCCTCAATCTGCATATTCTCCTGATATTGCCCCTTCCGATTACCATTTGTTTCGTTCTTTGCAAAACTTTCTTCTTGGAAAAAAATTTAATAATGAAGAATGCCTCAAAAATGCATTGACCAAATTTTTTGCATCAAAATCACAAGAATTTTACAACAGAGGGATTAAAATGCTTCCTGAGCGTTGGGCACAAGTAGTAGAAAACAACGGCAACTATATTGTTGATTAAATTTTGTTGTATTGTTTAAATAAATTAGATTTAAAAAAGTATTAGAAAACATTAATTATTACTAGACCTAATAGATCACCAACTTACACCATACACAAAAACAGACTCAAAATGGATAAAGGACTTGAATATAAGACAAGGAAACCATAATATATCCTACAAGACTCCATAGGCAGCAAAATTGCAGACATATGTCATAGCAATATCTTTTCAGACATATTTCCTAGGGCAAGAGAAACTAAGGATAAAATCAAATGGGACTACATAAAAATAAAAAGCTTCTGCACAGCAAAAGAAACAATCAAGAAAACAAGAAATCCCCCTGCATGGGAGAACATATTTGCCAATGTTATCTCTGATAAGAGTTTAATTTCCAACATTTACAGGGAACTCATACAAGTTAACAAAAGGAGGATAAACAATCCAATCAAAAAATGAGCAAAGGACCTAAATAGACCCTTCTTGAAAGAGGATATTTAGAAAGCCAAGAGACTTATAAAAACATGTTTAAAGTCACTAATCATCCGAGAGATGCAAATCAAAACAATAAGGTACTTAGCTCACACAGGTCAGAATGGCTATAATCAACAAACCGACAAACAAGTGTTGACGATGATGCAGAGAAAAAGGAACCCTCTTTACTGATAGTTCAGCCAATGTAGAGAAAGAGTATGGCATTTCCTAAAAAAAAAATTTAAAATGGAACTGCCTTTCGACCCAGTAATCCCACTTCTAGGAATATATCCCAAGAAAACAGAAAAACAGAAAAACCAATCAGAAAGGATATATGCACCCCTATGTTCATAGAAGCACAATTTACAATAGCTAAGATTTGGATACAGCTTAAATACCCATCAGCAGATGAGTGGATTAGAAAACTGTGGTACATCTACACAATGCAATTCCACACTGCTATAAAAAAGAAGGAATTCTTAACATTTGCAGCAGCATGGATGGAACTGGAGAGCATTATGCTGAGTGAAATAAGCCAGTCAATGAAAGAGAAATACCACATGACCTCTCTCATTTATGGATAATAAAGAACATTATAACCTGATGAACAAAAAGATAGATACAGAGGCAGAGAATCATCAAACAGACTGTCAAATTACACCTGGAAGGCTGGGGAGGGTTGCAGGGAGAGGTAAGAGATCAACCAAAGGACTTGTATACATGCATAGAAGCATAACCAATGGATGCCAGACACTGGGGGAGTGGGGTGAGGGCATGTGCTGGGGGATAGGGCAGGCTTGGGGAAGGTCAATGGGGGGGAAAGGAGACATATATACTATTATTTGTAATACTTTAAACAAAATTAAATTTTAAAATAAAGGGAATGGAAATTCCCTTTTCTTTTCTTCAGAAAAGAAAAACAAACAAAATACGTGTTTTTTTGCTTCAATTCTATGGTAATCTAGCTTGTAATCTATACTTTAATTTATTCTGTTTCATATTATTTTATTATTTTTTCATTTAAAAACTTTAATGTTGACATAAATACCTTTCTCTTTGCTCACTTTCATCTATCCACATCTCCCCCTTGATTGTTCTTCACTCAATTGTCCGTATTCAAGGGTTATATATATATGTTCATTAAAGATACTAACCTGCATTGGATAGATGCCCATCATCCTGACTTCCAAATGCGCCTTTTTCTGCTGCGCAACGAGGAGGAGAAAACCCCTTGTCACAATGGCAATGATGGAAATTGTTGCAAAACTAGAATAATCAGAAAATAGAACAATTTTTTTATATACAAAGATGGTTTACAATAGAGACAAATGAATATTCTATGTTTATTCAACAGATAAGAAGCTATCCATTCTAGAAAATTGATCTTAAACAATTCAACTAATTTTTTCTTGAAAGTATCTATACCTTAAAAAGTACATCTAGCTTCTGTTACCAAGTTAATTTTTTTTTATTCTTTCAACTCTTCACATAGCCAAAAACAAATATTGGCAATTACCAGTAACATGTCATTACTTGTCATTTACTTTCTAGCTTCACAGGATAGCCCATACCCTAAATTAATTAGTAAGACTAGAAAGAAAAATTCATATAACTTTATTCTCTCTGTAAAAATAATATGATTTTGGTTATATGGTAACACCTAGTGCTTATAGCACATCCACCCCACATATTTTCCAAACATTTTATATGTCCAGAATTATCTTATAAAAACATGTTTAAAGTCACTAATCATCTGAGAGATCTAAATCAAAACAACAATGAGGTACTTTATCTTCTTTAATGGTTTGGCAATATTTCTTAGTAAAATAATGTTAAAGCTATAAATTATAGACCATTAAATGGCACCAAGTAGTATAAAAATTATTTAGAAAATTATTCAAATGATTTTGTAAACCTCTAAACTGTTTCTTAAAAATTTCAAAACATGTAACTTAAAAAGAAAATTGAAATTACTTACTCCTCTGTCGTTACAGTCTCTAGTATTGTCGCATTGAGCATAATTGCTCATGTGTCTAATCTCTTTACACTGAAACATGACACAAAACTAAAACAATTCAAAAGGAAATGAAAAATAAAATCAGCAAACAATTGATTGTGTACATTGATAATATAGATGAAAAACTATTAAAAAATTCCAGAACTCATATTACCAAGGACTGACATAAAAATCCAAAAAATAAAATAATTGTAAGTTCATTGAAATAAATGTGAAATAAGCTATGTACATTCAGATTATAAAGTTGTAATCAGATGTAAGAAGTTGGAAATTTTATTTTCTTACCATCTAACACCAGAAGTCCTCTTAGAAAGATACATTCTTGAAAAAATTATTTGATTAGTTCCTTGAGTTCAAGATTTCACTGAAAAGCATTTTTAAATGCCTATGCCTGAGCTCCACCTGAGACCATTATATTAAAACTAGAGGCTCGGTGTACAAAATTCATGCACATGATGGTGGACCCAAAGCCTGGCCTGTACCCTCTCTAATCCAGGATCCCTCTCGCAATCCTGAACCACTAGTTCCTAATTGCTCCCCTGCTGGTCTGATGGCCCTAACTGCTCTCCCTGACAGCTTGATACCCCAACTGCTTTCCTCTCCTAGCCTGATCCCCCTAACTGCCTACCTGATCTCTCCTCCTGGCCTGATCCCCCTAATTGCATATATGCAATCCCCTTCTAGCCTAATCGCCCTAAATGCCTATCTGCTCTTCCCTGCTGGCCTGATCCCCCTAACTGCCTAACTGCTCTCCCTTGCTTGCCTGATCCCCCAATCTGCTCTTTTCTCCTGGCCTGATCCCCCTAATTGTCTATTTGCACTCCCCTCCTGGACTGATTGCCCTAAATGCCTATCTGCTCTTCCCTGCTGGCCTGATCGCCCTAATTGACTGTTTGCACTCACCTCCTGGCCTGATTTCCCTGACTGCCTATCTGCTTTCCCCTCCTTGTCTGATTGCCCTAACTGCCTATCTGCTCTCCCTTCCTCTCTACACTCTTCAGACCGCTGGCACAGGTGTTTTGAGCTCTCCTCCATGGTCCACCCCCACCTGATTGGTCATTACGTGACATTATCCTGGTCAATTTGCATATTCCTCTATTATTAGTATAGATTAGAGGCCCAGTGCATGAAATTTGTGCATGGGGATGTGTGTCCCTCAGCCCCACCTGCACCCTCTCCAATCTGGGACCCCTCGAGGGATGTCCAACTACTCTCTCACAATCCAGGACTGCTGGCTCCAAACTGCTCATCTGCCTGCCTTCTGTATTGCCCCTAACTGCTTCTGCCTGCCAGCCTGATTACCCCCTAACCACTCCCATGCCAGCCTGATTGATGTCTATCTACTCCCCTGTCAGCCTGTTTGCCCCCAACTTCCCTCCTCTGCTGGCCTGGTCACTCCCAACTGCCCTTCCCTGCAGGATTGATCACCCCCAACTGCCCTCCCTTGCAGGCCTGGTACCTCCCAACTGCCTTCCCCTGCTGGCCATCTTGTGGTGGCCATCTTGTGTCCACATGGGGCAGGATCTTTGATCACATAGGGCAGGGGTGTCGAACTCAATCAGAGAAGGGGCCAAAATCTAAAATCCAGCCTAAATCGCGGGCCGAATGGTTTACTGAACAGTCATAAACTGACAATGTTAACCAGAAATGTGAATTTAAAATGAGTGGAACAATCTTTTCCTTAACAGTGCTGTTAACCAACTCACATGCTATCAAGCAAAACAGTAATATTGGAATGTACCTAAAATGCTCATTGTTTTGTTTTCTGGCTAGATGTCTGACACCGTTTTCCCCGGATCAATGAGTCAATGTTCGGTTTTATTTCTTGGGCTGTAGCAACCCGCAAAACAGCATGGAGGTTGTCATCGGTAATGTGTGATCTGTGCTTGTTTTTGTTCAGATTCATTATTGAAAACATCTGTTCACAAAGATAGGTGCTCCCGAACATGGATAGAATACGGGCAGCATGAAGTCGGAGCTCTGGCATTGAGTCAGGGGGAAGTAGAGGGTAGAAGTCCTCAATTTCAACATCCTGAAACCTTGATTTCAGGCCACTGTCAGACTGAAGCTCGATTATCTCCATCTGAAGGTGATGGGGCACATTGTTGACATCAACTGTAAAAGGATTGGCAAAGATGTCAAAGCCTGAGTGCTGTGTTCTAAAGTCAGAGAAGCGCCGCTCAAATTCACTTAGTAAATGGCTAACTTTGGTAGCCAGCCGACTGCAAGGAAAAGTACCAGAAATAGTGGTTGAGATACTCAAACAAACGGGAAAGTGGGCAAGATTGTCCTGTTCCAGTTGGGACTTCCATAGTTGAAGTTTACGCTGGAATGCTGTGATCATGTCAGACATCTTCGTGATGACTTGTTTGCGTCCCTGCAGCTTCAGATTCAGTTGGGCGAGATGCTCGCATATGTCACACATCATAGCAAAATCACATAGCCAGGCGGGATCCGACAGTTCAGGCAAGGGCTTTCCTTTACTTTCCATGAAAAGAGCAATTTGTTCTCTGAGCTCAAAAAATCTTTTGAGGACTGCGCTCTTGCTCAGCCATCTTACTTCTGTGTGGTATGGCACGTCTCCATGCTCTGCACCCACCTCCTGTAAAAACTGCTGGAACTGGCGATGATTCAGGCCACGTGCCCGTATAAAGTTAATAGTTTTAATGACTGTGGTCATTATGTCATTCATGTCCAGAACTTTTCCACACATAGCCTCTTGGTGGATAATGCAATGATAAGTAATCAAGGGTGTGTGGCAGTAACTTTTTTGCATTCTTTCCTTCATTAGTCCAACCAAGCCTTTCTTTTCTCCGCACATTGAAGGTGCGCCATCGGTAGTTAGCCCCACCAACTTTTCCCAGGGTAATTTAAAATTATTTATAGATTTCTCCATAGCCTCAAATATATCTCTACCAGTCATCGTCCCATGCATGGCAGCTACATCCAAAAGTTCCTCAGTGACAGAGAGGTCGGTCTTCGTAGCACATATAAAGATGGACAGCTGCGCTGTATCAGTGTTGTCTGTACTTTCATCGATAGCAAGTGAAAAAGCGAGATAACTGCATGCCTGTTCGGCCAGCTGTGATGATAGATTTCCTGAAAGTGCTTGAACTCTATCTGCAATGGTGTTTCTTGACAAACTGACATTTTGAAAACTCTGTATCTGGTCTGGGCATACTTGCTCACACACTTTTAGCATGCATTGCTTCAAAAAGGCACCCTCTGAAAAACACCTTGAAGTACGGGCAATTTCTTCAGCCACTATAAAGCTTGCTTTCACTGCAGCATCATTTTTCGCTGTAGCCTTTGTAAACATTTGCTGCTGTGATTGTAGTTTGCCTTTTAGTTCTTTAACAATTTTATGCTTTTCTTCCAAAGTATATTTGCCATACTTAACATTATGTTTGGTGTCAAAATGACGACGTATATTGTACTCTTTCATCACCGACACTGTCTCATAACACAATATACACACTGGTTTGCCCTCTCTAAGCACAAACATGTATTCATTTTCCCATTTGTCATTAAATTGTCTGCCTTCACCGTCAACTTTTCTTTTCCTGGACATTTTGGGATCAATATTGGCAGTAAAAGATGTAGTTTATTGGAAATTTGCGTTAGAAGGAAAAAGTTGAAAACTGCACAGGGATAGCTTGATTTGGCAGATGGAGTGGAGAAAAAAAAAGTCAGTCAATAAATGCCTGGCTGGGTACAGATAGCAGATTCTGTTGCGATTTTTATGCCTGCACTTTATGCCAGGAACTGGCAGCTTCTGCTGTGTATTTTTTATGCCCGCACACTCACTCTCTCCTCTGCTCTGCCACCCGCACAACCACATCGGATGCCGGACTATAGGTCACGCCTCCTGAATCTCGTGTGACTTGTTATCTATGCGCATGCGTAATAGATAGCAAGTACAGCAGCCGGCGAGGCGGCCGGCGAGATCACAAGCCTCCTATGCCACCGCATGTCATTGTGATGGAACGCAGCAGAGTGCAGTGATGACAGCGCGGTGCGGGCCACATTGCAAGGCCTGGCGGGCCGGATTTGGCCCGCGGGCCTTGTGTTTGACATGTGTGACATAGGGGAAGCTATCTTGATCTTATATGTTGGAGTGGTCAATCTGCATATCACTCTTTTATTAGATAGGATAGAGGCCTGGTGCATGGGAGGGGGCCAGCTGGTTTGCCCTGAAGGGTGTCCTGGATCAGGGTGTGGGTTCCCTTGGAGTATGGGGGTGGCCTGAAGGAGGGGCCTGTGGTTGTTTGCAGGCCAGTGATATCCCCTAGTGTCCCAAGTGGAGGCCCTTGTATCTGGAATTTATTTACCTTCTACAATTGAAACTTTGTAGCCTGGAGCGGAGCCAAGACTCGTGCTCCATCTGTGGCTGCCGCCATTTTTATAATTGAAACTTTGTATCCTTGAGTGGAGGCCTGGGCCTGCCAGAGTATGTGGAAAGCTTGGCTTCCTCTGTTGCTGGGGAAACCCAAGCTTCCCTTCTGGTAGCCATCCTGGTTGGGTTCATTTGCATACTCACTCTAATTGGCTGGTGGGCGTGGCTTGTTATTGTAGCAGAGTGATGGTTAATTTGCATATATATTTTTTTTTTATTAGGTAGAATACCTGAGACAGGGTCTAGGCAATTATCTGTGAGCAGTCAGGGTTGAGTATTATTTGATGGGAGATTGAAGTTTTAACATCATTAGTATAAGGCTACTCCCATAGCCACATAAAATTGCAACTACATAACAACCATCATTCAGAACCATCTGAAATCTAACAGAATGGAAGTCCTACAACTAGAGATTTAAAGAAACCATATGAGATTGGTAGGGGCAGAGACCTAGAATTGGCTGTTCCCACAGCTATGTATGGAAAATAAAAATTGGAAGAGATGCCTTTCCTGTGGAGGTTACTCATGAGAAGCAAGGGGTCCCAGTCCCATACTAGGCCTCCAAGACCAGGTTCCAGTGCCAAAAGGAGAAGTCCCCATAGCTTCTTGCTATCCAATCCAGTGGAGATTGTGGCTGAGTGAGATGGAGTGC